CCCAAGCGGGCAAAGTGATTTTACTGTGGCAGGACATAGATGCGATGGAGAAAGTATGTATTCAATACGGAATGAAATACCTGGAAATTTCACACAAGCTAGGAAAAATCCGTGACTTCTTAATACCAGCCTCAATCAAATCTACGAATTACCCCCCCGAAGACCGGAGAAGTCCCTGGATGCAATTAGTAGCGGATCGAATACGATTTCGGAGGAGAATTCGACAGTTAGAAGCATTGTTAGTTTTTAAGAAATAAAAAAATCATGTAATACTACATTAGCGTTATGTTATTGTAAGACGTCATAGATACACTCTGGTTCGGCCTGTCCCCCTTCAATTTTGCTTTCTCACTGTGGTGGGCGTGTTTACCAAGTGGTATGATTTTCTTTTAGCCAATCAAATTTGATCACATGATTGGATTTTCCATGTTTCGCACGTGCTATTTGATTATCGTCTGCTATTGTTTACAAATACAGCCCCTCCGAGCGCCCAGTGTCATTCCTCCCTGCCTGTTTTGCCAGAGAAGAAAAGAAAAGTAAAAGAAGAAGAAGATGTCGGGAGATTTTTTTTATGAAGATCTTTTCCTCATCCCAGGGATCGTTTTCGAGAATATTTTAATCCTAAGGAGACTTGATAATAACAGGGAACTTATGCAGATAAATTTGGCCAGATTTCAAATCAACACAAACAGAGGGAGAAGACCCCACCCTTACAGGAGGGAATCATCAAAATCGCCACCTTCTCCACCCCCGCCGCCACCATCCAGATCTGCGACCCCGGCCCCCCAAGTCCAAGCCAGGAACCAGGGGCGGATTCCCCCCTGGGGGTTTGCTGTTTCTAACAGGGATATTTGGTGTAGCTTGTGTATGAACGATGGTGAACCAAGTAACTTTGTATGCGGCCGCTGCTTGCAGCGGCCTGCATGCCTCTTGTGCGCTGCCATGATAGTAGAGCGGGGTATACCATGCTCCTTGTGCAGAAACAGTGAGGCCTTGGTGGAACCATTAACCAGAAGGTCAGACAGAGACGGGGACGAGAGTTCCGACAGCGAGGATGGTAATCAAGTAGGGCATGTTGTCCAGCGTCTACTGGCTCATTAGAAGATAGCTGACCAAAACCAGAAACCAAAACTTGAAAAAAAAAAAACAAAAAAAAATTACAAAAACCAAAAAAAAAAAAAAAAAAAAAAAAACCAAACAGCCCTTTTAAGGGCTACCCAATTGTTTCGAAAAGATGCCTTCATATACAGTCGATAAAAGAAACGTTCAGTGTGTGTCTTAGAAAAAAAAGATGTTTTTTTTCCCAAAATACAATCAAAGAAACGATTGTATCTTAGAAAAAAAAAAGAGGATCTTGTTATACAGTCAAAGAAAAAAAACGAAACGTTTGTGTGTGTGTTCAATAAGAGTACCTTCTGTACAGTGGGTAAAAACAAGAAACATTGTGTTTCTCTCAAGTTATAACACCAGGTCACTTTTTAAAAAATTTTTATGTCTCCAAGTACGACTTAATTTTCTATGTAAATAAGGCCGCCATGACGAATCTCCGCAAAGATTTTACCCCAGTGAAAAAGGCTTGTAATCCACCTTGTAGGTCGTTTAAAGTTGTTTCACATTGTTTAGGATTGTGATTATGTTATCGCTCACCTATATGTTTAATGTCAGCTATGCAAAATAACCCATTTCTGCGTAATTTGAGATAATGTTTTTGTCATGTGCTTAAAGTATGGCCTGCTATTCATGTCATCATTTAAAGTCGCTCCTCAAATAAATCTGTCTTAAAAAATACATTTTTACAAATGACATTAAATATGATTAGAGTATAGGAATCCAAATATATATAAGAGATATTATTTTGCATTACATTTATAAGAGGCATTGTCTCATGTAATTTAAATCATAATAACAAAATGGAATTTATTTTTCTATACAGTCCTCAACATGGAAGCTATGTTTTGTTCCTAACCATCTATAATCCATTCTCTAAGTGACGTGAAGCGTGCTGGCTGCTGGTCTTCCTTTTGGGAAATACACAGTGAATCAATTATGATAAAAAACAAAAAACAAAAACTTGAATCTAAAAAAGTTTTCAATGAGATATCATTTTAATTTATTTTCATTATTATTTAGTAAGATAATTATTTTAAATGTTTATATTTTTTTAAATGGATAAAAAATAATAAATCTGATAATGGAAATCAATATCATAAAGATAGCAAGTTTTATAGGAATCCATATATATATATGAGATATTATTTTTGCATTACATTTATAAGAGGCATTGTCTCATGTAATTTAATAACAAAAATGGGTTTTATTTTCTATACAGTCCTCAACCTGGAAGATATGTTTTTGTTCCTAACCAATCCATTCTCTATGAAGTGAAGGTTGCTGGCTGCTGGTCTTCCTTTGGGGGAAATACACAGTGAATCAATTATGATAAAAAACAAAACTTGAATCTAAAAAAGTTTTCAATGAGATATTATTTTAATTTATTTCATTATTATTAAGATAATTATTTAAAATGTTTTTATATTTTTAAAATGGATTAAAAAATAAAATCTGATCATGGAAATCAATATCATAAAGATAACAAGTTTTTTTTATCTCTTAGTGCTGATGAATTTCTGAATTTTCCATTCAATATTTGACATTATATCACAGGGAAAAGAAAAACTACTTGAGTGTTTCTACTGCCTCCCCCCAGAGATCTGGTTTTGAGTGCATGGGGATTGCGGTGGACCTTCTCTCCGGTTTAAAACAGACTTTAGAGTATGACAGATAAAAAGGTACTTTTTTTTTCTTCTTTATTTTACATCAAAACAATAACACATACATACACTTAAAACATATATCGACAAGTAATGTTCACCTGTTTGTTATAAGTGTGTGCAAATTGTTCAATATAATGTCTATAATGATCCCGATTTCCTTTTAGTCCACAACATAATCCAGAAGGAAAAGCATAAGTCTGGTAAGGTAAACTACCCATTTGTTGTAAACAAGCTTGAAACCATTTCTCTCTATTATATGCTGTGTCCTGATAAGTGGTAATTCTTTTCGGTCGGTGACTTGCTTTTCCATAATCCCATTGAGCTAGTAAACAAATGACCACAGGGGTTTGTGAGGTAAACACCTTAATAGTGCCTGGAATTCCTCTATCTTGTTCTAAAGCTATATTTTGAAATCCTACAGCTCTGCGGGTGGCATCGAGATTGGCTTGTGGGAATTTCTCTGCAATAATTTGACTCAATCCATAAGCTTTTACAGACAAACAATCACATTGATGAACAATAGCTTCTACCTCACAGTTGAGTAAATCACCTTGTATCTCCTGGACACTCATGATGTAAAATGAATATATTTTCTTTAACACCTTGTTTTTATACCCCCACCTTGAATTGCATCATCTTTTTATACCTGTTGCATCATCTTTTTATATCTATTGCATCATCTTTTTTAGATCTGTTGCATCATCTTTTTATATCTATTGCATCATCTTTTTTATACCTGTTGCATCATCTTTTTATAGTTGTTGCATCATCTTTTTATACCTGTTGCATCATCTTTTTTATACCTGTTGCATCATCTTTTTTATACCTGTTGCATACTGAAAACACTAACACATAAATATTAATAAGAACACAGATTTTTGATTTTTTCATTCTTTATTTGTAACAACAAACAACAAACAACGTATTTACAATACATTTTGATAAAAACATTGACACTTTTGTCCATGACCCGTAGGTAATTTATGATAAGTGTTTTGAAACCAATTTGCCACATATCTGTCCCTTTGTAAAGCCGTACTCTGGTCAAAAGGGAATAATCATTCGTCCGCTTTCTTTCTTTTCTTGTCTCTTTGATGTAAATAATACACGCAATATTGTCCACATACATCGGTATTCCAGTCTTGATAGCGATACGGATTATAAATCCATTGCTGAGCATGACGCTGGATAAAATCTTGAATTTCTTTTTGTAAGGGAGGAAATCCATAAGAATCAAAATATTCCACCACGGGATTGCTCACATACAGACACACCCAATGTTCTCCAGGTCGATCTTGAGGATCTGTATTGACCACGACAGCTTTTTCTCCAGGTCTTAATTGATCCGGTAATAAATCTACAGGATACACCCCTCCAAAAGAACTCTTGAATTCTCTGGATAAGACTTCTCTCAATTGTCCCGTATCCATTAGTAATCAATGCTCACTTCTCTCTGTTTGTTAATTTCTAATAGGTTATCGAATTCTGCATACACCACACAATTGATGGTGTTAGGTGTATTGTTGGTAAACTGCACTTCTACTCTCAGATTCCCTGTTTCTATCACTGCATGAAAAAATGTCTTTACAAAATAAGTAAAGGTATTGAAAATGCAATATTTACAACGCCTTTAATTACATTTAAGCATATTTACTTTAAAAAGAAAAAGTTGGTAAATGTGATCTTTAATTAAATTTACTGCAAAGTAAATTTTTGTAATGGCCCAATTTACTACACCTTTACAAAATAATTAAATGAAATATTTACTCAAGTAAATGCAACTTTACGGAAATTCAAAGGTTGTCTTTGACAACATATTTACAAAAAGTCAAATATTAAATTTACTACAGTAAATATATATTTTAAAAACAGTAAAGATCGTCTTTGCCGGGTGAATTAAATTTAAGTAAAGATCAAATTTAATTATAATTAAAGGTGTATAAATTTAGGGCCTTGACTTTATACTACCCATTTCTCATTTTCATTACAATTTTGTTGATCTTTTTCAAAAATTATATTTTTAATGATTAGATTGTGTTCATATCTGGATTCATGAAAGTTCCTCCTGCGATTTGATGTCAATAAATTACAAAAACTGCAAATTAAAAAAATCAGTATTTTTATTATAGATGTTGATCAATAATTTGTATTCAATATAAAATCTAAATAAATGTTTATAAGACAAACATAGCATGAATTTTTATGTATTAAAAAAAAAAACATCAAGATATATACATGTCTGCATAATTGAATTTTATACAAAAAAAAATATAATGAATGCTCATTAACACACTTGACATAATCCAAGTATTCAATTAACATTTGAACATACCAAAGCTTTTCATACATAAATTTAAGAGTCATTGTTTAGAACCCAGTCATGATCACTGGCTAGTTTTGGGGGATCTTGTTGTCTTATTGACCCCCTGCTTCTCTTTGACAGAAGTCTTTTGCTGCGTGGAGGACAAGTATCTAAATATTTCTTGTCCAGGCTTTCTTTGATTTTTTTAAGTTCTTCACTTTCCCATGAATATGAATGGGACACAAAACCATCATCTCCCTCCTCGTCACTACTCATGAATTTGTAGGCATTTGGCAACTGGAGGAAAGACTTGACCTTCACCTTTTTCTCCTGGGACCATCCTGTCTTCTTTTCAATGGCTAACACTCTCCTCTTTAATTTCTGTTTAAGAAAATCAAAACTCTCAATTTTAATAAATAAAATGGTTGTATAGAGCACTAAAAAGAAATTCTTTTACCTACTGTAATATTTTATTCTCTCAAGAGACGATTCATAACAATTCTGGATTACGGTACTTAATTCTCTTTTTTCATCAAGTTTTTAACCTTAAGAAATATTATAACCTTATCAAAACTTGCAATGAACTTTAATTGCCAAGGTGAGCCTTAAAGGGGCATGTATACATTTCAACTTAAGTTTTTAAACCAATTTTAGTGTTCACAATTCCTACTTAAGGCATCATCTATTGACTAGCTAAAATTTGAACGTCATTTGTTGATTAACAAACAAGATACAGAACTTAAAGTTCTTCATAACGTTTAAGGCTTGTGCCTTGTTTTTTGTTTACATATAAAAAGTATCAAATTATAACAAAAAAATATTCAGCAAATGAATATATAGTAACTGTCAAATTGTATTTAAAATTAACTTTTATTTGAAAATAACTACTTCGAACAAATATATATTAGTTTATTAACCTGTGTAAACAAAAACATGACACAGACCTTGTTTATGTAACAAAAGCTTGTAGCTCTAAATCTGTCTTATATCTGGACAACTGACGTTCAAATTTTTGATAATGATTAGAAAGACCATAATTAAATAATTGTAAAAATGGGGGAAAAAATTAAAATTTTAGCTGAAACTGTGTCCATGCCCCTTTAAACTATACCCTGGCATGCAGAGGTAAAATTAACTCCTCTTTTCCTGACAAGAATATTACATTCGCCCGAGGATTAAGTGACGTGTATGAACAACCCTTCATAAAAATCCAAAAGGTTTACCTCTTTTTTTCTTTCATAAGTTGCCTGTCTCTTTTTATGTAAGTCTGTTTTGTTCTTTTTCTGCCTGTTATCTGCTTCCTTTTGCGATGTAAAATATCTTTTTATTGCAGCTGAAAAATAAAACAGTTGATTGTTACATAAAAACTTCACAGTTAATATTAAATATTGTTCAATGTAATTAAATATGCAGCCTCTGATTTCAATTAACTTAAAATTGCTCAAAAAAGTTGAGTCGAGCCATTTTTAGCCAGACGAAAGAGGGCAACCAATTTTTAAAGATGGCCTTTATCACAGGAATCTTCCTTTAATTGTGAAAATATGTAGCAATTCTTATTTAGGTACCATTTATAACATCAACGCTTTCATCTGGAGCGATTCCTTGCACACTTTTCCTAATAAAATCTGTCATTTCAGAGTTTTCTTCATCCATAAATCTGCAAAATATTAATATTATATACACATATATTAGTGTCACATTTTATGAGTTAATACGAATAAAAATAGAATACAGAAAGAAGTAGGCGTCTATGATTGAATACAAGGCATGGTGATTGTGATTCTATATGGACAGGTATATAAACAAAGATACCTTTTATTGCAGTTCCATTTCAAATTTGTCTGTTGGCCATTTAAATATGAGTCCTTCACTGCACTCTAAATAGAAAACATTCTAAGAGTGCAAGGGGTGTAATACAGTATGATCACAATACAAATTTTGCATTGATGAATGATTTACATGTAAATATTTTAATGCAATGCATTTGTTGAAGAATTTTTAACTCCATGTACATGTTAGTGTTTTTTCAAATAATTATTAGATTGTAGGGATAAAGAAAGTCCCCGTTAAAAAAAAAACGGATTGTGAACATCATTAATCATGTTAATGATGAAAAGCATTGTTTAATTTACTGCAGAAATATTTGAGTCAGTTTTATTATATTGATACATGTATAACAGAATTTCATTAATTTAAGTTACATATTTTCTCATTTGAAAAACTGTCCATTCTTTTACCAACAGAAAAAAAACATAATAAAATTAAACTTTCACAAAAATTATACATGTAGATGATAATATTCTGTATCACATAATTATTTGGAAAATAGCTTAAAATATATATATTCAGAATTCCTCACCCTAATTCTTGCCGGAACATGTACTGGTTCATTAGTTTCTTGCTTTTTCTTTTCAATCTCTGCTTTAACTTCTCGGATATCTTTCTTTATAATGGCCAATTGTTGAAGAATTTCATTTTGGTTTGCAAGTATCTGAGAAATTTGCGTCTTCATGCCACTGCCTAAATGAAAATTTTGAGGAACATGTACCAAAAAAAAATATTCAAAGAGTTAATTTTATCATTAAGTATTTGATTATATTTAAAAAACAGTGTTTTTTTTTCAGAAAATATATATTTTTATTGGTTAATGATCTGGTTTAAGTAAAAAGTGTATATAAATACTGTTAAATTTTCCTTTGCATAATACATTTATTATCAACGCAATTGCCCAAAGCTCTTATCCATTATTAAGTGAAAAGCTATAGTAAAGAATATATGTTTGTGAAACACTCCTCCTCCCCACCCAAGACACTGATTTGTTTCTAAAATTGCTCGATTGTACCCAAAACAGAACTTGACCTAGATATTCTTGCGATAAAATTTCAATTCAGTATGTACATCCTCTCTGCAAAGAAAATGAAGGGACTCTATTGGTGGACTAACAGACAGATAAGATAGATCGACAGCAGCATATATTTCCACTGGACATAAAAAAGTACTGGTACCTTGTAACCAAAATTTCCTTTAGTAAAGCAACTTCTATCCAACCCTGCAGTTTTCTATATAAACATATGAAATTTAAAATCCTCAGAGATTTAATTTAAGTTTCAAAATAAATTTAACTTACTGTTTGATGGTGTTCTCCCTAGTGATACACTGGTCGGCTGACTTTGGCTTGCATTACCCGGTGTCTAAACAATAATAAGAATCGAAATATTAAAGTCATGCACCCTTACATATTCTATAACCTTCAGCAGTAAATTTTGAATAGCTCTTATATAAAAATATTAATCATTATCTCTGTTATTACCATCACTGTTTCCTGAGAAGCAGCAGATCGACTTAGCTGAGCCTTTCTTTGTGGATTATTCTGTTCTGTAGATCTTTTTCTCTAAAACAAACAATTGATTTAATACATCAACAAATCTACCAACCTGTACAGTTCAATTGTAATATATAGATAAAATTCAAGCCATATAATAAATATTGTATAACACTACTTTTTTACTTCTTGTATACATGTTCTTGACTTAATTTCACACTTTAAAATCTCACCTTTTGAGTCTGGAAAGTTGGGAGGTGATCTGAATTATCTGATTCTGATGGGGAAAGTTGTCGCATCAATGAAGTACTCACGCCCTTCGCACGCTTTCTAGGAGATCTTCTTACTGCTGTAGTGGGAGGATAACCGCTTTTCTAGTTTATAAACATGATCATGATGATAAACTAGGTTTCTGATCTTTAAACATTATCAACTAAATTATTGTTTTGCAATACAGAGGAATGTGAAAAACAAACTTAATTATTACAAATCCAGGAGGAGAAATTACTTTTGGGAAAATTAACACATTCCACTGGGAAAAAAGGTATTTTGGGGATAGGACCCATAAACAGCCCCAATTGTAAAGAATTGAGAGCCCTGAATATGTCATACAAGGATTACAAGATAATTATTTTATTAATTATATGAAAGAATCCCAGCTCTATTTGCACCAAACCCACCAGGTGAAATGGTTCATTTTTTTTAAAGGAGAAAAATAATTGATTTGAAAATACTGCATGTTGGACAAAATATATGTATTTATCCCATATCCTTGAAATAAAAAATCAGAATTTTCTGCACTCATTACTGATTCTAGAATTATTTTTCACGTTTTTATTTTCCTAATGGGGTATATGTATGATGCCCAAGGGTAGGTCAGGTTGTAGTCCAAGCTACCAATAGAGCTCTTACCTTTTTTGCCGGGTGATCATGCTGCCAGTCAATATTTTCAGACCCAGACTCAGAAGGCTGCTGGCTTTGATGATCACTATTCTTAGCAGCTTTTCTTGGAGACCTCCTCACACCTGATGACTGTTTGTTTAATGTCTTTTTTTTCTGAAAGAGAAGACAACATTTTTAAAGTTTAAAGAATCTGAGTTACAAGGAGGGGGGGGGGGCTTAAGAAATGAAATATTTAAAAAGTATGTCATATCAAAAATATCTGTGGAGAAAAAATCCATTGTCTTTGTTTTTTAAGCAAATTTGACATTACATGTACCTTTTGTCTTTGGTTTCTTTGTTCTTCATCATCTGATTCTGATGAAGACAATGGCCATACTCTGTGTACAAGTGTTCCTGTTGCAGCTTTCCTTGAAGACGAAACAGTTGTCTCCTGATGTTTCTGAAGACCATTTACAGGTGTAATAAAATTAATGATAAAGTTAAAACTACTTTTTTTCAAATTGATGACTTTTATTACTAGTATGCATGAAATTATTAATATAGAAAACTGGGTTTCTTGCTCTTTTTTTAAATATTGTAGAAAAAAAATCAAAACAAACATTCTAAATGATCTACATACAATACACCTGAAAAATTCAGTGTTTTTTTAATAAGCACATGAAATTCTTAATACTACTTTGTCCTTTAGTTAGGTCTCCAAATGCAGGAGAATGAAATTTTAGCAGAGAAATATGAATAAAGGCAATCATTTTTTTCCCAAATTTGCACAATCTACAAATTAACTATAAGATCTTGCAAAATAATGCACCCCCCCCCCCGCCCCAAGATTAGCAAGTCTAGGTTGTTCAAAGTTTATTTTTCTTCGCTAGTGACAAAGTCAAATATTTTGCCCCCCCCCCTACCCCTTCAACCTATACACTCTGGAATAACATTGATTTGGTTTACAACTTGAATACTTCCCAAGGTTTCACAATAAAATAATTAAATGTAACTTTTTTGATTACATGATGTATAGAACAAACTTCACAGCTTCAAAATTAACACAGGATTTTAGTGCCCTATTGCACAAAATAATCAAAAAGTGTAAGAAAAAACATGACCGTAGGAACCGGGGGTACAGGGGTTCCCCTCCCTCAAAGTCAAAAGAGTATAGATGTATTCTTAAATTGCCGATATAGGCCTAGTATACATTATACTAACTATAGAAAACGTAGGTTGTCCCCTCACAAAAATAGTTTGATGACCTTTTCATTGCTTGTCAAGGAATCTTTGGTAGGGGATAGGGCCTAGTGCTCCCATGTCCCAACTGAAAATTTTTTTGGCTGCCCCCCCCCCCCCCCCGGTATACGCGGTATGCCTGATAAATAAGATACAGATAAAACTTGGATATAAAAAAAAAAGCAAATAAAAATGCGCTTGCGTTTTCATCACTTCAAGTGTATTTACCTCTGTAGTGCTATTTGAATATCTACAGGATTTGGAGGAAAAAAAATCAAAAACTATCAGGGAAAAAATACCTTTGATTGTGGGGATGCCATTTTGAGATATTTTTTTTATTATTAGATATAATTTCAATTTTTTTTTCTTCAAATATTTTGACCTGTACAATCATTAACTCATCTAGGTAAAAGTACTGAGTACTGACAGAACTCATGGCATACACAGATAAAAAAAGGAGGGATGTCAGGAGTCAAAAGATAAATCAAATATTTATTTAAATAACCAAAATTTCCTGCCCCTTCTGAAAACAAGGACCCCTAATGGCTTGTAAAATGTTGAGAAAAGTTGTACCTGAATCCCCTCTCCCTTTCCTTTACCCAATGAAACACATAATCATCCTCCCTAATGTAAAAGGTTTTGATAAAATGCAGGCAATTATTGTTTATCTAGATCGAATGATTTATAATGATGACAATTTTTTAATGGAAAAAGCATAGTCAGTAGACAGAATTTAAACTGTATTCACGTCCACTTGATCTAATTTTTATGCATATTAGAAAGTAGAGTAAGACGTATAATAATCAATATTTAATTCAATTTTTACTTAGATCTTACTTTAGAATATAACCCACTTAAATGTACATATAGGGTAAATAGATTGTTCTTTTATTTCATTTGAATGCTTTAGGCAATTTAAAGAGGCATCAATTTTATTCCGATTTCGGACAGTATTGTGTAAATTTAATGATGATAGTGTCTTCCCTTTAATTTATTTCAAAGTAAATGGTTAAAGATCAGTTGTAACAGGCTAGGAGTTGAGATTTATGAACAGAATCTCTGTGAACTTTGCAGCAAATTTTTATTTCAAAGTGGCATTATTGTCAATTAAATGGTCAATTTGGCCTGTTGCTGGTTCTCAGGAAAAACACTGCTGATGCTTTAACAACACCCTGCTGGTTGACAAATAAATTATGCAAAAAAAACCTTTTTGATGGTAAGAACTCTTGGGGTCTTGATCCATTAGTGGATCTGTCATAAAGATAACAATGTAGTTTGTACATCTGTAACAGTGGCCCTAATTGACACCTAATGGCATGTACATATACACATATACTTGACACATACACAAAACAGTGTTATCACTATTTAAGATGTAAGATAATGGTGTTTTCACAGGAGGGGGTGTATTAAGACTCTTTCTTATCTTCCCTGTCAAAGGGCCCATTAGTTGCCTATGCTAATCAACAGGATTGTAGATGTCATAATGTCATGTAAATGTAATGCATGATTAATATAGATAATTATGAATTCATACATTGACCAAATGTCACTACTAAATTTGAAAAATCCATTTCCTGGGCTTTGATTATAGGTATATGTAACTTTTTGCTTATATTTTTTTATCTTAACATATAAGAAAACCCATGGAATTGTTTACTTGTACATGTACATTTAAAACTTGGAACATGATTAAATGAAGAGCTGAATGAAAAGATTAAAATTGCAATGTACAGAAATTTAATTTTTGATAAAAATGGTACTGTAACAGTATATTCTCGAAGACCATGAAGAAAATGCCTTTGCCATATCACAAAATTAAGGATAATTTAAAACAAGCTTTATCATAAAAAGTCAGGAGAGCTCTTTAATAAAACTGAGAAAATGACAGATGTGTGTGTGTGTGTGTGTGTGTGTGTGTGTGTGTCTGCGTGTGTGTGTGTGTGTGTGTGTGTGTGTGTGTGTGTGTGTGTGTGTGTGTGTGTGTGTGTGTGTGTGTGTGTGTGTGTGTGTGTGTGTGTGTGTGTGTGTGTGTGTGTGTGTGTGTGTGTGTGTGTGTGTGTGTGTGTGTGTGTGTGTGTGTGTGTGTGTGTGTGTGTGTGTGTGTGTGTGTGTGTGTGTGTGTGTGTGTGTGTGTGTGTGTGTGTGTGTGTGTGTGTGTGTGTGTGTGTGTGTGTGTGTGTGTGTGTGTGTGTGTGTGTGTGTGTGTGTGTGTGTGTGTGTGTGTGTGTGTGTGTGTGTGTGTGTGTGTGTGTGTGTGTGTGTGTGTGTGTGTGTGTGTGTGTGTGTGTGTGTGTGTGTGTGTGTGTGTGTGTGTGTGTGTGTTGTAATTGGATTATGCATGAGCAAATTATTTAGAGGGGGGAAGGGGGGTGGGGCATCAAATGTAATTGTAATTCAATACCTTAGAGAAATGCTTATCAACATAAAAACAACATTAAAAAGGGGGAGGGGGTATCATTCTTAATGTAGAAGGTAGGGCTGTCATGGTTCCAAAATTTTTCGGGTTGGGTCGGTTCTGATTTTTATACCCCCCGCTTGAAAAGGGGGAGGGTATATAGTAATCGTTAATTCCGTCCGTCTGTACGTCTGTCCGTCCGTCTGTTACGCTTTGGGGTACCCATCTCTTATCCGCAATTCCTCTCATACCACTGAATGAATTTTTATGAAACTTTCACAGAATCTTTATTACATATTGCCATTGTGCACCTCCTATTTTACTTTTTGATCCGACACATATTTTGGGTTTCCCGGCCACAGGAAAACATGGACTTTTTCACCAGTTTTGACCATATGGGAGGGGGGGGGGGTATCATTTAGTGAGCTCATCGCTCACAGTACCTCTAGTTTTAGGTTCGATTTCAGGTAGTTAATGGAATAAAAAGCTCATGATTTGTATTATTTTCAACAACAAAAAGAATATTTTCATTTAATCTTAGAAATAGCAACATTATTACTAGTTTAAAGTAGCCTCCTGAATAGTCAACAATTGTACCAAATTATTTAAATCACCTTATAATGACAACGTACTAACAAATGTCTCGTTTTTGATGCCATTTTTAGGCGGAAGCCGCCTTTTACTTTTGCCTGCTTTGTTGACCTTTCGACCTCTCAAGATGTTTGCCCCGCTTCATGGTACTCCAAACGGATGTATCTTAAACTAAGGGCATACAACCCGCTTAATCATATTCGACCCCCTTTCCAATCTTTATCATTATTATCATATCAAAAAGCGTGTGTTATGGCAAA